TTCGTTTCTCTTTTTGTTTTTTTTCCATACTATAATAAACAATGTTTTTTTCTTTTTTTTTCTATGTAATATTGATGTTATAATTTTTTTTTTTGGTTTTTTTCCAGTCGTGGTCCTCTTTTTCCACGGGTGGTTTCTTTTTTGCCAATTAGAATTTCAAATTTAAGAAAATACTATGGGGGTTATGGGATACTACGGTATATTGTGGTGTACTATTCCGAACGTTATTATTCGCCAACTCCCAACCGCCGTTAAACGCTAACTGGAACAACTAAAAAACTCAGTTAAAACACAGCAGTCAACAAATTTCAGCCGCCGCCAAACCGTACCTGCAAAAACCTATTCGTCTACCAACCCTAGCCGCCGACCAAATTAAACTCTAGCCATCGACCAAATTAAACTCTAGCCGCCATAGCCGTCGACCAAATTAAACCCTACACTACATTCAAAAACTTAGTCGTCCACCAACCGTAGCCGCCGGCCAGATTAAACTCTAGTCATCGACCAAATTAAACCCTTGCCGCCATAGCCGTCAACCAAATTAAACCCTAGCCGTCGACCAAATTGAAACCTAGCCACCATCCACCGTAGATCTGACCAAATTAAACATTAGCCATCGACCAAATTAAACCCTAGCCCCTATAGCCGTCGACCAAATTAAACCCTAGCCGTCGACCAAATTAAAACCTCGGCCTCATACTGACCTCCATCACCATAGTCGTCGTCGCCTCCTGCCTTCATAACCATCCCCTTATTAACACCGCCTCCACCGCTATAGTTGTGCCATAGCCATCGTCCCCTCAGCAATGGTGAGAAGTGATGGAGAGGGAGAGCGAGAGAAAGAGAGACGAAAGATGGAGAACGAGAGAGAGGGAGAACGAGAAAGAGGGAGAACGAGAGAGAGAGGGTGAACGAGAGAGGGAAAACGAGAGAGAGAGAGAGAGAGAGAGAGAGAGAGAGAGAGAGAGAGAGAGAGAGAGAGAGAGAGAGAGAGAGAGAGAGAGAGAGAGAGAGAGAGAGAGAGAGAGAGAGAGAGAGATCTGGGAGAAACGTGTAGAATTTATGGATTTAAGTTGAGGGCAAATTTGGGATAAAAAAAAAAGTAAAGGATGTGGGTCTATTTGTAAAAATGATTTAGTTCAGAAAAAAATATATATTAGGGTTGTATCCCATATCTAATTATGTTTACAACTAGGGACCTCTAGGCTCTAACATATGAACCCTTTCTTTAGTTAAACCAATTATCTCAAAATACGAGATTAAATCAGGCTAAACATCTAACTCAATGTAAGTCAAATCCCAATATATTGAAATTCCGTAAATATGTCTACTTCATTGATTTTAATAACAAAAAGTTGATATGCCATTATATCTAAAGATATATATACTCAACTTAATAAAATATTAAAGTAAGCTAAATATTGCGTAAATAGTCATCAAAGTAATGTTTGCAGATGAGTTATGTTGGAAAAAAATGAAGGAAATAGTGACTTTAATTTGTATTTTTTTTAACTGAAATATATCTAAGTACTAAAAGTCACATATATTTTCCATAAACTATAGGAGGGGTAATATTGTAATTGCTCAACATAACATTACATAACTAATGTCTTTACATTTTTGTAAGGTTCACTACAACAAAAATGTCTTCTTGTGGCACAAAAAAATGTCCTAATACATATCATTAAAGAGGCACTTATACTTTTTAGGGCAAATAAAATATATGTCGCATAGTTGCGTGTTGCATTAGCTTGTGAGGCACTTATTAATTGTCCCATTAGGACCCTTTTGGTTGGTGTAATGGGATTGTAAAATCAATATTGATTATAGATTATTGCACTGTTCACTACTATTTAGTATCATAAAATACCGTTTTGGGTTGTAGGATTATTAATAATTGATAGTCTAAATTTTTCATTTGGTTTGAATGATTGTTATTGATTTCACATGTATTTACATTTAAGTCCTTGGTCAACATTTCTTTCCTTGACCAAATAAATTCACGGTGTAAAGCCATGAATAATAATAAATTCACAAAACAAGCATTAAAAAAAAAAAATCCCAACTTTACCAAATCACCATCTCTATCGGCAAAAAACCCTAACCTCTGCAACAGGCTCTGCACAAATACAAACTCGAAATAACACCATCAAAACCCATTCGAAAACAGAGTCGGCCCTAGTATAATGAGCAATAGTAGGTGTTTTCGTGCAGATGGGTATGAGTCCGAGGATGGAAATCGAAACCACCCACCCATTTGTCGTTGCGGGCTACAAACATTTGTGCAAACATCTTGGACTTCTTTAAACCCGGGGCGCCGTTTTGTCACCTGCCCAAAACGAGATGTAAGATCCATTGTTTTTTGCAAAATTGAATTTGATTTGGTCATGAAACGAGATGGAAATCAAAATTGTATTTGATTTGGTCACCTGCCGAAAACGAATTTTTTAACAGATTGTTTTTGCAATTTTGTTGACCAATTTTTTGATTTGGTCATTGTTTTTGGTCATTGTTTTTGCACACCTGTCGAATTGTATTTGTTTTGGTCATTATTTTTGCAGTTTTGAAGGGGTTTATTAATAAATTATATTCTGGCCTTTTTTAATTGGTTTTTTTAGGGTAATCGATGCAAGTTCTATGAGTGGTGTGATCCGGAAATATGCGACCGAAGTAAGAAGATAATTCCAGGTTTGTTACGAAAAATTAACCTTTTAGAATCACAACTTCAAGCCATTAAGGATAAGGAAAATAAGAAAAAATACAAATTAACTTGCTTTGTATGTCTAGCATGTGTTTTGGTTATGTTGCTTGATCCCCTATATGGTTCAATTGCCATTGTAGGATTTGTTTGTTTCTTGGGAATTATTGATTACTTTATGTAAGAACTACATGTATGCTAAGAACTAATTATAGCCTATGTGGGGTTTTTTTTCTTTTTTTTCTTTCTTTTTAGTAGAACTTGAAGTTGTATTGATCTATTGAACAAAAGTAAATTTAGTTTCGTGTTTTAAATGACCATATTTTGTTAAGTTGTTAAATATTGTGTTTATATAGTACACATTATATGATAATTTGGTAAGAGTAGTTGAGAAATCTGTAGGGAAATAGTGGAGTACCATACATTACATAACGACAATACAATTAGTAAATGTCTACCATCCGTTGGCACTAGACATAGGGAAAACTCGATGAATTACATCGTACATGTGCCAATTAGGGGGAAAAAAAGGTGCACTCCATTCATATGTAAATATAGGAATTTAAGGATCTATTACTCCCGAATTTTCGCCATTCGATCCATTGTCATTGTCGTCGTCCAAAGCATGCCCGTACATATCATGACGATATCCGTCGGGGTACATAACGTCCAATGGTAGGGGTTCCTCATTAAATTCGGGAGGCACATACATGTCATCCTCATTGCGATCGGGTACTAGAATGAAGTTTGGAACTTGTTCCGGTTCCTCGTTCATTCCGTCCTCGTCGTTATCTAGTTCCATTGGTAGGTGTGGGGTAAATCCGGGAACTTCCCCGAAATTGATTGGTGATGCCCGCTTCTCCTCAAATATCTTCACACATATGTCGTAGTACGGGAACTTGAATCTCTTAAAACCCCTCTCTATCGTAGTCTCCTTGAGAAACATATGAACATCCGATGTCTAGTATTAAAATACAAAGTATAGAGTTGGAAAAAATTAAAAGATTTGTGCTTCGTTAGTAACATGCATACCATGACGTGGTGAATGAATGTGAGTGGGCTCAACCGTGATCCGGTTCCTTGCTATGTTGTAATTTACCCCCGGTTTGTTGATGTATTTGACGAAATCAACAAATCGGTTGCGTATAATTTGGTATCGGTTTTTTATCGTCAATAACGGAATGTCCAACTCGTAGCATTGATTGAAAATCCGTGCCGTGTTTACCACCATGGTATCGAAAAATTCCCCGTCGGCCAACGATGCAAATGGTATGCATAGCCGATCGAGTTCCCCCATGAGGAAGTCATCATACTCGGTCGGCCAATCCCCCTTGTTCAAAATAGAGTTGAGAAATTGAGTCCTCGTCATAGGCATTTTTAATGTAACACCTGCAAAATAAAACAACGATATTACCAAAAAAAATAAATTGTGGTAAATTTATTAAAAAATGAGTAACCTCTTCAATTTACAATAGCTTGCCTTATCTTGTGTTTTTTGTTGTTATTTTGGCTTTAAACTTGTAATTTGTGAGAAATCATTTGCATACATGACCTCTTTTATAGTAAAAAAAGATGCAAAGTAGTTGAATTGTGTTAAATGTTTTGAAGTGTGAATTTAATTATCTATGGTAGGAGTCAACATTTTTTGATTTTTGAGCTTGTAATGAATGTTGTTAATTTACAAGAACTGACTAATTTTTAGGCTGATACACACATAAATATTTTACAGCAACATTAATACACCCATATATATTACCGATGCATTAATACACTCACCTATATTTTACAGAA